GGTTCTTTCAAGCTATTAACTATTTGTAAAGCACCACACTCGTTGTCTTTTCATGGTGAATATTGATAGGTGTGATATGATTTACAGATGTAGATGGGTTTGATTGGGGTGTTGAGGCCAAGTTTCACAATGTCTCCAACTTGTGAAACTCAATTTTGTTGAGGAAGGGTGGTCCCTAGGAGTCCCTACATGTAAGGACTCAAGCTCATTATTTAGAGACTGCTGTAAATTTGAGACCTGGATAGAAACTGCGGTGGGTGGAGTTTGGGCCACAAATTCCAAATACAGACCAAAACTTACGGCCCATGGAAGAGTTGCTCTTCATCCAAGAAGTGGTGCAAATTTAGTTGCCCTGTTTCCAGGAGGATTGAAAGGTAGGGAATAGAAATGGCCTAGGAGATTAGAATCTATGTGATTCTTGGTCTTGTGTTGTATATTTCAGAAGGTTGAGATACTGTGTAAAATATGAAAGACCTCATATAGACAAGTATGGACATTTGCCTGTATGTGCCCAAAGGTCCCAGATAGGGCCTAGCTGTTAAGCCATGCAAAGTAGAATAAAGATTGTTTATCTAAATGAGTTATCATATTGTAATCCCATCATTTTGACAAGAAACAGTGTTAGTCTGACATTTGGGATATCCTTTTGTAGCTCAAAAAAGGAAAAATCAAACAAAAGGCTTCCATGAGTTTGATTTAGGTGACTGTGGTCCTGGAGACAGCTGATGTGTGGGAGGTTCTTTCTTAATAATCATACCTAATACAAATCTTTCTAATCTTCCGGTTGTGTTGTGAAAGTCATGAATTTGCTGAGACCATAAAGGTTCCTTCCACTGACTTCAGTTTGAGTCTGATGATGAGAATCTCAATCAGTTTAGTGCATTTATGCCTTTCTACGGCTGCATCCTTTACATACGTATGGTGTTCACCCCAGAAAACAGAACTCCTATGCAGTTTTATCAGATGCAGTTTTATCAGATGCAGTTTTATCAGATGCAGTTTTATCAGTGTCATGTCAATCATTTAAAGCAATCTTTGAAACGATATCAAAGCATACTCCCTGTTCATGTACACAGCGGGACGGATCGAAGAAATCCCGACCGCCGTGCCGGCGCCCCGGCCGGAAGGGCGACCACATGACGCACCAGGGCGCCAGCGGGACCCAGGGTTGTACAGGCGCCCCGAGGCATGTCAGGGCGGCGCTCTGGGTCAGCATGGTGTCCCTGAGGCGTGATCGGGTCGACCCACAAGAGGCACGTCCCGGTGGCGATTGGGGGGGTCGACTCGGGGTCGACATGGCTGTGGGGTCGTCATCCTTGTGCCATGGGGATGACACCGACCGAGGCGCCATGAGACCAGGGTCGTCAGGGACGGTTTATGGTTGGGGCGGCGTCATCCTTGCGACCCGGGTCAAAGGTCGATCGTCTCCTTTTTGCCCTCTCGAATACCATCGGGAAGGATGGTTTTCACGTGGCACTTCCAAAAAAACTATTGCCATTTTTTTTTTTTTTTTTTTTTTTCTTGGACTTCGCTTTTTTTTTTTTTGGATCAGAGCTCTCTCAGGGGTGAAACCTGGCAGATAACTTCATAAATGACATTTTCTGACAAGTCGCACTGGCGGTCTGGTGAAGTTGACCATTCCGCCGGTGGGGGAGCCGATCCGAGTTCCGACACAAGTTCGAACCTCGCATGAGCGATCTTTTTTTCAGTGCTACATAACCAGTCGGTGGGCCAGAACCGGCGCCCCCATTCCCGTGTTGGCTACATGGTGTTCACCCCAGAAAACAGAACTCCTATGCAGTTTTATCAGATGCAGTTTTATCAGATGCAGTTTTATCAGTGTCATGTCAATCATTTAAAGCAATCTTTGAAACGATATCAAAGCATACTCCCTGTTCATGTAAGTCTCAGGAAGTGTCAACGACGAACTGGAGTCGCTCCAACTATGCCTCGCTGTACAAACTCCCCTGCAACTCGAGAGAAATGACGGCGTGATCGTCGGCGTCCCGACCTCTCTACCGCCTTTGCAATCGAGCTTACCAGGTCCATTGATCATCCACAGCAGTAGGCAATGTGCCGCTATGGACTGGTGTCACAGGGACTCGTCCAGAGTGATCTCTACTTCGGATGTCAGACTTATGAGTTACGACGACTCGCTGGATTCTACGTAGTTTTGAAGGAGTGTCGAGCTGCAGGATATTCTCTTGGAAAATAGCCGGATACAGTCTCTGACACCGACTTTGAGAAACATTTTCCTGGTGTTTTTCGTTGGATTTCGCCGAGCCTGGATGATGTCAGTCTTGTTCCACCGTTCGGGGACCATACTACCACAGGCTGTACAGACATTGAAGCTGATTTCGGGAGGGGTTGAAGTCGGTGAAAAGCACAATACAGGCCATCTCCCAGACGCTAGGTAGGCTTCTCGGAGAGGATGCTGAATTGCAACCGCGAAATTGTCCGGAGCATGTAGGGAGCAGGGAGCAAAGGGATGGGTTCCCAGTTCACTTGTGGTTTCATCAACCCGGATGACGAATAGATGTCTTGAAAGTCCCCATTCAGAATCGGCATTACTGCTGCAAAAGGCCACTATCGGCTCTTTGTTCATTTTTTTTATTTTATATACCCACCGACATCCTTCCTTTACTTGTGACTTAACAATACTACAATTTCAGATGATTTGTTACATCTTCCTTCGGCACGGTTGTGCTCTTCTTGCGCTCTCAGGGTGTTCTTTGGCCCAATCGTCTGGAAACCTCTTGGAGAGTCTATCAGGAGCTTCATTGAATCAGACAAGCTTGGTGAGTTGTTGTGACTTGATTCTCCTCATACACCTGCCGAGATTACCCAGGAGATGAATTTTTAGAAGACGTCTTTCTCACTAATAACTATAACTCCCTCTTAACGTCATTGAAGCCCCAGGCAAAAGCAGATGCACATGCAGGTGTATCTGATACGTTCAACATAGCTCTACATGATCCAACAATAGCACTCAGCACCCCCGGGATGGAAATTGGCATAAATTGTCCTGCAGCAGTACGCTGGAATGAACAATACGCAAGGAATCTAACACTTCAAGGACCAACAGATGATGAGAAAGAACAAGCATGGATTGTCTCTTACATGGCCCGACATCCCGACCAAACACTCTGGGAATTGTTTACTAAAACACTTGATCAAGACATACAAAATTGGATCCACGGGCCCAATCCAGTGGAGAAAGCAGCTGACGGTGTTGTTCACTTTACGGTGGAGGTTATTGAGCAATTTATCAAGATGATTTGGGCTGCCTTCAAGTGGGTCGTCAAGTTTCCTTTCAAACTTAAAAAGGAATGGCAGCAGGTATGTTTCTTGGCTCTTGTGATCCCAAACTTCTCCATTATTTTCACTCCTTGAATGCGGTTCTTGCCTAAATGTCTTAAGCCTTGACTGATCTTTTGATATTTGCTTTCATTGGACAAATTAACAGGTCAAAAACTTGGGTGCCGAGTTATGGGATGGTAAGACCCCCACCCTCCTTTCCTAATTCGCTCGAGCTGACCAATTGATGTAAATGATGTCAAAAAATGACAACAAATAAATAAAAAAGGGACCAAGATAGCAGCACATTTGTTTGCCGAGAGCCCAATCAATGGACTCAAAACGATCACTGGTGGATTATTTTTACATCTCTTATTGCATCCAGAGGAATTTACAGCAGAGTCAATACTGTTGGTTGGTGCTGGATTCCAAGTGATTAACTGGTTGGTTCGTGGGATTGAGGCGATTGGTAAGCAAATCTGTCCTGGTACCATCCAACAGTCAAAAACACTTGGGGGGGAGCTAATTTTTACATTTGAGTGATGCTCTTAATATAGCCGGAAGCTTGCCACCAATAGTGGGGAAAGCATTAATGAGCTTTCTATGGTTCATCCATTCGTTGGATGATCCACTTTTGATTGTGACACCAATTTTCACCAACACGGCTCAAGCACTCCAAGCTGGAAAAGGGAGTATATTACTAGATGGATCAAGTGAAGAGAATGGTGGCTTTACGTCTGACGATGGGAGCAAATCAGTCACCCTACCCGCTGGGACAGTATTACCAGCCTCAAAACAATGTCCACTTTTACCACCCGATTTAGCCACGCCGCCCCTGACATACGGTAACTTATGCCTAAGTCAAGACTCGACCAAAGTTAGAGAAATCATATTTGGGACTCCAAAGCCTTCGAACGAGCTAACTTGTGAAGAACGATTACAAGCTTACAACCATGTCCAAAAGTTCTGGTGTTGTTATGGTGATAATGGAAAGAATTCAATCCCCATTCCTGATGCTATCCTGCAGGATATTCCTGGTCAAGAACAGTGGGAAGGTAAAACCTTTTGGAAATCTGTTGACATTGATTGCCAGAAAATCTTTGACGAAAACCCTCAACCTTCCAGCGGAAGATTGACAATCAAATTATGAAACTTTGTTGACAACCTTTGCCCTTTTTGGTTCACAAGTATTTATATTTATTGAGCCCATTTCTTGTCCCCTGTGCAGTAGAAAACAATTCATTTTAAGAGCTCATTGAAACTTGCATAAATCTTTTGTCTTACAAGCAACCTATCAAGCATGAAATCTATATTTTTTCTCCCTTTTTTGTTTAATAGGTATGGCAACACTTATTTATAATATTGTAACACATTGGTCTTTAGGCCATTCAAACCAGAAAGAATCTTGTACAATAATCGAGAAGACAGACAAAACAAACCAGTGAACCAGTGATAGCGCTAACAATGAAGCTTCTATGGCAGGCAGAAGGGGAGTGTGGATCAAGTTTTCTAAGGAGATGTGCAAGATGAATTGCCAGTTCAATGACAGCCAAACTGTAAAATGGGATCCCACAGCCATTCATGAAGCCACTGAGAGCTGTAAAGCCTACAAAGGCAGTAGAAAAGCTGGCCAAGATAGGTACTGGTCAAGCACCAAAGAGAAGGGTGGTCAATTTGATACCAGCCAGGAAGTTTGATTTCTTATCCTGTTCGGCGTAGATTGTATTGTACACTATTGTCCAGCATATGTGTACCATATATAATGGTATCAACACTCTCCATTCTTTCTGTCCCAGTATGGCTGATGAACCAAGTGGTGCACCCCAGTTGAACGCCATTCCTATCAACGGTGGGCCAGTTACACTAACTGTAGTGTTAGTGTAGCAGAATTCCGCAAAACTTTAGCGTAGCGTAGCGGAATTCTGCCACATCTTGCACTAACACTACGCGCACAGGCCCCACAAAAGGGCCTACTATGCTGCGTAGCAGCTTTTAGGCCCTGTAGTGCTGTTAGTGGCTTGTAGCGCAGCGAAAATCTGCTAAAAAACCACTGACACTACATTTTCTTGGCGCAAAAAAAGTGCCGCTACGCTACACTTTTTGGGCCAAAAGTGTAGCGGCCCACCGCTGTTCCTATAGAAACCAAATCAAATGATATAGAGTAATACAACTTGGGAGAATACCTAGGACAAATTGTGGCCTATAGGTAATTTGTTTCATGAGAGGGTAAATGATGACCAGAGAGAGCAAAGAAGCACCAAGCAAGATGTGATACATATTCAATTGAAGTAAAATGGCCAAGCCTATCAACCTCTGAAGGCCAAGCCAGCCAATTGCATTGGTTGGAGATCGTGCACTGCCGCCAGAGGCTAGAGGTCTGAGTTGGGTCTGTGAAACTTTTTTATCAATTGGGCGGTCCCACAGATCATTGATGGTGCATCTGGCACCATGCATCATGAATGCACTCAAGCTGAAAAGACAGGTTTGTGAGATTAAGAATTGCAGGCTAAATGCCGCACTTGAGGCTTCCAGGGCAAGGGATGAGCCCCATGGAAGGAAGAGTAGTCCAGTGCCTATTGCTGCTTGCAGTCTTGACAGAGCATGGTATGGTTCAATTTGTTTGATGAGGTTTTTCAGCTTTGGTTCCTTCTCAATTCTCCCAAAACACATCCATGTGAGACTTCTAATCAGCATTGGAGGAAATTCTTCATGATCCGTGTCATCATTACACTTTAACAAGCATACATCACAAATGTATTCAACATTGGGAATGTGTACTTAGCTCAGTGGTCAGAGCATCACTCATGAATGCTGAGGTTGTGGGTTTGAGTCCCACAGTACACAACCTTTCTTTTCACTTTTTCAATACAGAGAACGCTCCGCACGGGGTCTGACGGACTCTCCAATAACTTCAAGCCTTGGGGGAGGACCCCGGAGAGCCCCTGTCAGACACACACATGAAAAGGGTAGCAAAACCCCTTTTTTCCAAAAAAGGCACTGATGAAAAATGAAAATTTGGTAGCAATTTTGGGAAATCTCAAGTTTTTTTTGCCAACATCCTTATGACAATGGTACCAATCTTGGAACATCTGAGCAAACATCAGAAAAACATGGCATAGAACAGCCAAAATTCCAAGAATCAGTGGGAAAAAAATGGAAAATGGAGACAATTGAGATCATACCCTGGGTAAACATACCCATGTAGATGGTATCTAAACTGCATTTTTCAACAAAAAAGATCTTTCATATAGCAAAATTGTATTTTTGCTCATATTGACATAAGTAAGTTTACCCAAGGCTCACCTGGGTCCTCTCAAGGGGCTTTGTTTAAGCTACATAGCAGAATTCTGACTTGGTTGGCAATGTGACTGGAAGTGATCAAATACCTAAGATTGTTGCACCAATGAATTCCAAGCTGGTCTTTTTACCAATTGTGGTCAACAGAGCTGAGTATATTCATAGGCACCAAGAATTTTGTTCTCAGCTCTCAGTTGGTTTTGATATTACCAGTACTGTGACCAAATAGGGTAATTCCTTTTTTTTGATGCTGAGAGCCTGAGAGGCCCCCTCAAGTGATCTTCTTCACCTATCACCAGTCCCCTCAGGCAGCACCCTGTGACAAGAACAAAAGAACTGAGATTCAAAAAAGCAATGTGGCTAGAATTCTTCTTGGCAATTTAGGGAAAAAACATTTGCCCATCAACCCATGAAGAAGAGTGGATAGCCAGAATTGTTGGTGGAGAAGATGTGAAATGGCCCAAGTATTGAATGCCACACAGCAGAATTTGACAGCCAAGAGTTCTTGCTGCAATACCTAGGTAGCAAGTGGCCATCAACACTACAATGTCAACTCAGGTTCATTGCCATTTGACCTTCATCTTTCAATGTCCCTAGTTTTTACCAGGCCATTTTCTGACCTAGTCTTCAAAAAGGCACTGGGGCTTTTGGCTCATTGCCACCTAAACAAAAGTACCCCTTCCCCCCTAAAATGCTTTTGTGTTTGTATCTTGTTTGGTTTCTGTTACCTTTGCTTTTTTTTTGGGGGGGGGGGGTGACATATCATCTTCAATTCTTCAACATTTGAATACTAAAATTTTCTATCCTGTCTCTGAATCAAAATAATGCTGGAATAATCCTAGAATACTCCCTGGATTGATCTGGTTTGACAACCATCATATGACCATTTCATTGGCAAAGTTTAGTGGTACTGAATTAGTCTACTTTGAGGGGACAATCATCATGCAAAATATTCATATATGTCTGCAGTGAGCCCTAATTTTCTTGACCATCCACCTCAGTCATGGTGAAATTATGAAAGTTATGAATACGCCGACAGGAGCACAGACACCACGGACAATTGCATGTCGCTCCCGCGCGGAGCGACATCTGGGGGTTTCATTGGGGGTTTCGTGCGCAGTGACTGCGCCTACTGCCGCAGTCACGCACGCGGATTCGTCAAGGTGACGGTTACATCCGGGGCGACACCCCAATGACCGTGGTGAGAGGCTGCCTGGCCCAATGGTCAAGGCGCTTGACTACGAGCTGCACAGGCGTGTGATTGTAATCAAGAGATTCCAGGTTCGAGTCCTGGGGTGGTCGTCCTTTTTGTGAGACCTGCATTCTCAGTGATAAGTTTTTGGTCGCTCTGAAGGGTTATATGACTTGAGGCTCCTCCTCCCTTGATTGCTTCTGTGAATGAATTAGGTAGAAAAATCTGTATTGCAGCTCATGTTTGAGAGCATATCAGCTAAAATCAGTCCAAATAGAATGCCCACCCTTGAACCGCATTTTGATTCACATGACCTCCTAGGGTCTGGTGTGTTGATAGGAAAGCCAAGATACATGTGTAGCTCCAGCAATGTTTATTTGAAATGGATCCTAAGTAAGACAACAGTGCAAATACTCACATTGGAATGAACGCTGTTTTCAAGAAGTCCTGGAAATATCAACATTGCTAGAGTCGAATAAAACTAACCAACTGTTTACAAAGAAGTAATAGCAGTACAACAGTAGACAAAGATAAAAGCAAGTGGATCCAAGACCAGAAAAACAAGAAGAAGACAGATATATTAATTATGAGAGATCATTCCAATTTCCGACAAGCACAAGAAGGGACAAAAAATACTGGATAGGAGTTATGATGTTACACAGCTTTTTTGTAAGAAGGGTTGAAAGAGAGTCATATACTCGATGCATACTGTCTCTATATTGATGAAGAGCTGTAAGGTGTCCTTGCACACGATAGAATAAAATGTCAATGGTCGATGGGTGGATATGCAAAGTGATCGGCTATAACGGATATTTACATCGAGTTGTGAGGCAGATAGAAGGAGCGAATAGTATATGATGTGCGCTGAGCCATACTCGGCGTTATTCGATGGGATCTCTCTAGAGTAGTGGCTGTTTTTCTTATTGTTTTTATTGCTCTTCAGAGACTATAATTCCCCAAGCGGGTTTCTAGCTGGCGATGTGTTGGCAAGCTTGCAACAACGCGATCATCCTGATAGGCTGCCGCCCATGAAGCGATTCCGACGATCCTCTTCGCCTTTCTTGAAAACCTGACTGCAACGCGATGTATTTTCTTGTTGTGACTCATTTCATTCGAATATGACCCGCGGCTTGTTAGACTCGGAGCAGGCCTGATCGAAGAGGAAGACCGGCTTTTTCTGATGGTTTCCGTTTTTCATCGACTTCTGGCTCTCGCCATACGTGAAGCTCTTGGCTCTCGAAGAAAAAGCGCTTTCGCGTGTTCGGAACTGGTTCAGATCGGCGTGGCGATCGCTCCGATGGCTTGGATCATCCATACCAACGTAGCCTCCTTCACAATGCTGAGGAGAATGTGCAAAGTATCTAGCATAACCGCCTTCTAGAATGTATACCTCCGGATAGTGTAGAGCAGGGTAGTGTGACATATTCATGTGACGATCTTGTTCACGAAGATATTTAGCCCTGAAGAAACACATGACAGAAAAATAATGATAATCAGCCTAAGAAGCAGCGAAAAATAGACAATGACATGTCTCACGTAGTTGGTGCCCTCATGGCGGAGTATTCGCAATGAAAAACAAGTACCACTTTCTTATTTTGCCCAGTCGAATCTATTTTTCCGGATTCACTTGGCAGAGGAACATCACCTTTCCCACGTGTGAAGATTCCTCCTTGTAAGAGCATCTTGTCGACGAGTCCTTTGTCTTGAATATTGATGGCCGAGCGAATGTGTCCGCCTTCATACTCGTAGCCGAACCGGCAATCAATCACGATTGTCTGAGATATGTTTTGATCATAGAGCCCTTCTAAAAGGCGGTCCATTGTGTCGGGGGAAATGCGCATTAGACCATCATCGGACACCTTGTGACACGGTAGGATCTTTCCAGCACGTTCTTTTTCACTAAACGCCATACCCACTGGGCTCTCGATAGTCGAGGTTAAAGTGGCGGCAAAAGTTCTTGTAGGACTTTGGGAAGCCATGGCGAGTTCGAAGGTTGGAAGGACCGACTGGGAGTTGGACGCACCAGCCCCAGATGGCTTACGATTGGGATTGAGTCTGGAATCATTGTGACTCGCACTCCTGTTCGGGCGGATTGGGCTCTCGGTGTATTTTGGCCATATGCTACTGACGAGAGATGAATGAGACGCTTTTTTAGAAGTTCGAGCCGCAGGGGAGCAATTGAAATCCAAGCTGACATCAAGCTCTGACTCTTCTTCATCTTCGTCTGGGTCAGCTACCATGCCATCACATTGTAGCATGAGATTGTGGCTATCTCCCTCCGTGGCTGCGAAACTGATGGCACGGCGACTCTTTGAAGCAGGCCTTCCCGACATATCTCGCGGGCGGTCCATGCCCGCGCTAGTAGTTGATGTCGATTGGTGACGGCTGAAAAGCGTTGCGCTGCTCTGCACGACACCCAACACTGGGCGCCGATGAGTGGTGCGGTTACCAAATGCTAGTCCTACGTTAGCCGGGCCTAGATGCTGAGGGCGAGTCGTTGAAGGAATGATTGCAGAGGGGATGTAAGACTTTGAGGCAGGGAAACGGAAGCCGGATAATGGGCGCTCAGAAGCCTTGCGACCGACGGTGATCTTCGCCGCCGCTTTCACGCTAGGACTCATAGTATCACTAGGCGAGGAGGACGGCTCGAAGGGTGAAAAAGAGCGAGATGGTTCGCCGTACAGACGTGAACTGGCACCAAAAAGTCGATCAGCCAGAGACGGTCCGGCAAGCGACAATTCCGAAGGGCTTGAGACGTGTGCTTTGTCAGCTGATTGGCGGTTGCAGCCGCTGCTGCTGGGGCGCGAGGGAGATTGCTCGCGTTCTTCATCCTCGTCTGACCGGCTTCGTTTTCCGGTACTACTTTGGCTTGTGGAGCGCGATGTTCGGTGGCAAAGGCACCGGGCGCCCGATGGCATGTCATCGGACCCCATCTGGGAGTGAAGACTATGGCAGTGATGCGCTTGAGCATAGCTGGGAGAGTCGATATCCATGCAATCGCTGGTGCGAGCCAACGCACACGGTGACTGCGATCACGAAATTATCCAACCCATTCAGAAAAATCAACGCGCTGCGGATTTTTTTCTGACAAAAACAGAAGGAAAACAGCTCACGGATTTCTCATCCATCGTTCTGGAGGGATGAAGAAAGAGAGCCTCAGATGAAAGATTGGGACGCGACTGAGTCTTTCTCAGCCCGACAGTCCGCCGAGTGTTTCTTGTGGTAGGACTTAATTTTGAAAGAGTGTGAGATGGGGAGCCAGAGGAGCTTCCGCCAAACGGATCATCCGGAGAGTGAGGCCGGAAGCTGTTTGGTTGGTGGGGATAAGAGGGTATATTGCACCGAGTTGAAATTGGAGCGGGTGAGATGTCCATGCGATGGGGAGAAGAAGAATGTGGCATGACGTTTGGATTAGGCGCGATGAGATGGGCGGGTGGGAATGAGTGCTTAGAGGAGACTGGAGCAAGTTGGGCATTATGAGTAAACCTGGACCCCTGTGGATAGGGTGAAGGAGTTGGTGGCGCAGTGCCGTTTGACCTGCATAGAAATTGGGAAAGAGTGTTAGTGTGCCTTATTCGAATGCTCTGTCCATTCTGACCACCACGGAAATGAAGTCGAAGAGACGCGGTCAAAGATATCTCACATAGAGCTTGCAAACGAGACATCTAGTGTTGGGCTAAACGGCCCGATCACCTGCTCTGCTGATTCACTCGGATCACCATCTTCTTCGAGTTCATCCTCTTCGTCATGGGGCTCGTCCTCAACATACGTTCCCTCAAAGGTTTGTTGATCTTGTTCGTCCACAAGGTCACCGTAGCGATCTTCGTTGCACATCTCCGGGAGTTGTTTGTCATGCTCTGCTGGGACCTCTGCCTCCAAAAATCTTTTAGACTCGAGCAAGCTTGAGTTGTGGTAATTACCATCATGATCATACTGAGGGGCGTGATTTGTTTTTTTCCGTCGGTAGATACTTGACCGGAGAAGCGGGGAAGGATTAGGCTCGAATTGGCAAAATGAACCGTGTAATTGGTGCGCGGGAGTAGGTGAGGAGACAAGAAAATGTGAAGAAGGCATGGGGACTGTTTGGTTGAGAATGAGCAAGAACCAACACAGATCAAGTTGAGAATTGATATCAATGATGATTGATTGAGGGCGTTGAAAAGGAAGTATGACTTATATTTAGAGAACAGACGGGATGATTATAATTTAATCAGATGCAGGGAGTGCTGAAGATGGTAACAGATACTACCTGTCAGCCAACAAGCAAGCACATTGGAGAAAACTCCTGAGTTTTGGATCCCGAGTGAGTTCACTTCTCTGTAGGGCAGCAAGAGTTAAAGGGAAAATGAATTGGAACGTTTGCTTTTACGATATGATGATTGATTTAAATAGATTGTTTTCTGGAAAGTGAAAAGGGAGATGATGGTAATTCAACGCCAAGCTCAAAAGAGGAAGCCATGAGTGGATGAGAGGAAAAAGAAGAGCCAGTGGGGCAGGTGCTTTTTTTGGAAGATCAGAAAGAGGGCCAGGTACAAATTGCTCTCCAATGAAGGAAATGACGGGGTTGGTTGTCACTGACCAAACACGCTGGCAACTGGGATTTTGGTAGGAGTGGGATGGGTGTATGGGTAGAGCCTAGAGGATTACGTTTTTTTGGATAGTCAGACTACATATATATACATATAATTATCGTAGCGCAATCTCAGCGGATGGATTGAGATGGATCGCCGAGGACTGGCCGTAGTGGTATGTCTTTGTTTAGTTTGGGTTGGATGGGTCGAGTGCTGTCGAGTGATAGTCTTGAACCTGCCAGGGGGGCGAGGGAGCAGGAAAGATCAAGATGAGTGCACGAATTCTGATGGTGGTCCCTTAAATACTGAGGTGGTGGTTCATGCTGATTTTCTGTATCTTTGGGATTATTTTATTATTTTGTTATTATTACGGTAGATACCCATGGCATCTGGCGGATGTGGTCCGCACGTCACGTCTGTTGTACTATGGCGGTAGGAAGCGGTACATAAAAGGGACTTGGAACCCGAGCAATACAGTTTTGTAGGCGATAACAGCAGGGTGGTGATTAAAGCAGATGTTGTACCCACTACCTCTGGATCACTTGATGGACGGAAATCTGGTGAAGAAGGAGACAGTGGTCCAAAAAAGACACATGATGTATTCGAGCCAATTCCAAGCAGGAGTTAGCGAAACAACTGTAATGCTCGGTCAAGTTGTACAGATAGGATCAGAAAAATCATCGGTCTCAGTTACATATCACTCAGAAGCAGTTGCGCCCGTGAAGTGTAGAAGAAAAAATCCATCCTCACATCCCCCCACATCCATCTCATAATGGATCCTCCTCTTCTTCAGGTCCAAAGTGGATAATTGAATTTGAATAATTTGCCGATTGAAGTGCATCAAAGGGTGGGTCATGGCTCTTGTACAGACACCTCATACCTGAAGTATTTGACTATCTGATGGAAACTGATGACAGCAAACTAAAAACCCAAGAGAACAGTGTCACATGAGATCTGACAAACAGCCGAGGACTTCCCTTGAATGGAAGGCCTGGTTCACAGATGTAGACTTCCTAACTCTAATAGTGTCTTAAGTTTATTTGGGTAATGAGAAATGCGAATGAAGTTGAGTGTTTGTCCTGCCTGGTATGGAAATCCATTTTTTACAATTTTGTCTTTCCAAGCGTTTCATAGGACTAGAAGTGACCATCACAGGGAAATCATTGAACCAGTAACAGTAACAATAAAAGCTCAAAAAATGTTGAGTTTTGTGGCATTACTGTTATTGAAAATTGGCCCAATTAAAAAGGTTTAACCATATACCTCAAACCCCAGTCCTGAACAGGTATCGCTACTAGCGATGTCGACAAGACATTAATTCTTGTACTGAACCTGCATTTTGACCATATTCCCAATTCTCATCTTGCTCGCCGTTGTCTTCTTAAATAGTTTTTGTTCGCTTTTGTTCACTCTGCTACCACCAGGCCTTAGAGGCTCCTTATATAATGCCTTTGCATCGCTGCCTATTCTTTCCTTTGCCCAATTTCGGACAATAATCTCGCAAACATTAAGTTCATGCCTTATCCCTATTGCCTTATTCCTTTAGTAATTCTTTTCCATATACCTCTACGCGTTGTTTTCCTTTTTCTCAGCCACATATTTTTTGATCTTTTGACGGTTTTGTCCTTCCTTTTGTTTCTTCTTGTCAACAGCGTGTCAAATTCTATTGCTTTTTGAATGTGTTACATGGCCTCCTGTGCCGCCTCCCCCTGCTAATCAACCAAAGCTTTATTGGTTTCTCTCTTCTAAGTCTGAATCCGGTCCGATCGCTGCGCCCTTCTTCTAAATATATGAATTGATTTTGGAACAAAAAATTCTTTAATCCGGCCTGGACGACTCGTCGCACTCCCAAATCTATTGCCAATAAGATTTATCTGGCTAAATTTCTCTGGGCTGCCAGATGCTTTCCCCATTTAGCAATCAAGACCACTTCACTTCGTCACTTTTTACTTATCCTTCACAACATTTACATTTCATATATGTATTAAATTGGTAACAAAAGAAGCTCTCAATCCGGCCTGGAAGCGTTTTCCAACTCCCAAAACCATCACTGACAGAATTTATGAGACTCAATCCCTCTGGGCCCGCCGGAGGCTTTCCGCATTTACCAACCAAGACCGGTTCGCCAAGTCACCATTTACTTGTAGCTTTGGCCCCATATATCTGTACACAGTCTCAAAAATAATGCTTGTCTTGGGATTGGAATACAATCTTTGGGCAATGAAGAAAATAAGGCTTTTGCAGAAGAATTATTGGAGGTAGGCGAAGGAGAGAATCGGACACAGGTAACAGAAAATATTCAGCTTAGGACTATAAAGGTGGATTTTCAAAAAAAAAGCAATGTTCTGTTATAATCTAGCAGTAGGTCATGTATACAAGGCCACGAGTCAAAGGCGGAATCAAAATTATAGTCAATATGTGAAGTATCTTGGCAAAAGGATCATCTTAACAACGTTGACCAGAGACGCGGCAAAAGTGAATCAGGCCATGGTATCAACTCTGAAATCTCGTGGTATAGTTTCCATTTCAATAGACAGACCAGACATTGAAGCTGAAGGTGCAGTTGCTTGTGAGGCTCTGAACAAAATAGATTTTGCTGGTTTTCCACCTCATGAATTGATGCTCACCGCTCAAGGTTGGTGCACCAATAGTTCTCCTGCGGAACTTAAACATTGATCAGGGAATATGCAATGGGACAAGGATAGTAATCAAAGACATCAGCCCAAAAGCTATTAAAGGGCAAATTCTAACAGGACCGTTCAAAGATAACAAAGTATTAGTACAAAAGATCACTTTGTTTCATGAAGGCAATTCCACAGTAACAGTGTCCTTTTATAGGTATCAGTTTCCGGCAGGGTTAGCTTTCGCCATGACCATTGACAAATGTCAAGGCCAGAGTATGAACTACGTAGGTTTAGTATTAGAAAATCAGCCTTTCACCCATGGTCAAGTATACGTAGGGTTGTCGCGGGTTACACAAGTCAAAAATCTTCTGGTTACTCAAGTAGCGTAAAACACACTGGTAACAAATGTAGTAAACAAAATCTTATTTATAGAAGAAGATACAGAAGCATGTTGTGTAGACAATGTTCAAATGAGAGATTAGATTGAAGACAATTTCTTTGTTTTGGTGCAATAAATATGTGATATTGCTGATGGATCTGCAGCTGATACAAAAACTATTGGCGGCGAAGCCGCCTCTAGACACTAGTGATATACTACAGGTTAGAAATACTGGGAAAGCGTGTATTTTTTGAACACATATACTTTGCAAAGATATACCAACAGATATTTTGGTCCCTTCATTTTCCATGGATACCAATTGGAAAAAATTAAACTCCTAATCAGATTTCTCAGTTTGGAAAATTCTTACTCTGGATTTAAATTGGCAATTGTGAATTTCAATTGGTATGTGCTCATGAAGCAAGGGAATTGGATTGCTTTTGAACTAATGAGAGAATGAGTCAAACCTAACAGCCCTATGTTGGGGAAACTACATTGACAGCTCTTATAAGGGTCTTTGAGTAAGGGGACAAAAGAGCTTTGAATAGAACAAGAAAATGTAAACACGGCAGCCCTATTCTGGGTAAACTGAATTGAAGGCCTTAAGGACCTTGGAGTGCAGGGTCATTGACACTGACACACATTTGGCAAGCTGAAGAGAAATTACATTGTGGATTTAATTGTCAGTTCCTTTACCAGAGATGATCAGTCAAAATATATTGATAGCTTACATGTGAAGCTAGTGCAACCACCTGTGCAGGTGTAAGTTTTGTCATTTCCATCGGTACAGACTAAATCAAAAGAAAATTAGATAGAAAACTACATTTTAGTTTGTGTCCCAATTGAAGAGTTTATCAATTCTGGACCATAGAAACGCACCATTTTTGATGGGATCAGTGCTGTTACCAAAGAAATAGTTGTTGGTGCAGGTAACTTGGGGTATAGTAGTGGTTCCAGTTTTTGTGGTATTGGGCCCAGTGATAATCAACTCGACGCAAGTATTGCAAACTAATAGATTAATATTTGGTCAGGCTCGAAACGAAGTTGAAGATAAAAATTGAAAGTAAAAATAGCTTACCGGGATGGTTTCCGCATGAACCGATGTCACATAAACCATCAACAGTTCCAGCAGGCCCTTTGCAAGCAGCTTCCGTGGGAATAGTGGAATCTATGTAGAGAAGTCATTCTCAGTTTATGGCGAGATTTTTGGTAAACCCATCAGTAAGGACATACAGTTTCCGTTAGAGGCAGTCTTCGTGTCGTTGGCCGACAAGGCCGCAACATCGGCCTCCGAGAAGGGCAAGTACGCTTGAGTACAATTCATAGGAATCAAATTGGGTTGTTTTTCACCGGGAGCAGGAGCTCGACCAGCTGAAGCAACTTTGGCACCTGCAGCTGCATTGCTATTCGCCTGAGCATGGATGCCGTAGGACATGAAAATAGCGGTGGCTAAGTAAGTAACCTGCATTTTGATGTATGGTAGATCAAGAAAGGATTATGAAAGAGAGTAGCTAGTAGTAATAGTAGTAAGTCTGATTGTGGAGATTTCTATATTCGCTATTGGAGCTGATGTTGGTTCAAGGAAGAGGAACTGTGTGGTGATAAGAAGGATGAGTTCAAAAGTCCACCGACCGTCGACCTTTTATCTACTCATTTTTCTGATGCAAAGCCTCGAAACCTCAGCGTAAATCGTAATCCACCTCGCCATAAAATGTATGACGGCCTGCGCAAGCCGATCGCCTGCCGGACTGTTTTCATAACGAGTGTTGAGGAGGTAGAGCAAAGGAAATGACTTCATTTGAAGTGCTAATACACCTTCCTTCGATGATGGAGGGGTTCATCCTTTGGCTTGGCTTTCCATCTCGCCAAGTTTCATTATTTCTTGATACTGAAACTGCCACTACGAGGTTCACAAACCCAAAAAACCAAGAAATCATACAACATACCAAATGATACACCTGCCATCGATAACTCATGATTCAGGTCTCAACCATGTGACAACGGTTGAATGTCGCAGCGAGCCAAGTCATGTCTGCCAGTCTTTTCTGCTGGTTCCCCCGAAACAGCACTTATTACCAAATTAAATGGATGTAAAAAAGTTACCAGTTGCATTGACTCGTCGGAAAGGAGTTTCTCTGGGACGACTGGGTACAGCTGGTCAGAGGGAATCCTCCTAGTATAAGTTGTAATTGCATCGCCGAAGATGGCTGACTTCAGCAGAGAAAACAATCCTCGCTGACGTCTTAGTAGGTATGGCCTAGCCTGTATTGCACGGGGTCGTCTTGGAGGAAATCGCGCCAGGGCATACTCCTGTAGGAGCCGGTACATCCAGCGGCCTTCTTAACACAGATAGGTTAGTTTCATGTGGCATTGCGCACTCGGAGGGGAGTGTTAGAGCAAGCTTGGCAGACTTGCGGAACACAACTGTGAAGACATGATTGCAAGGTCACACAAGTAGTTTGCCGAGACCAAAGCGGGCCCGTTCCGCAGCGATCCTCCAAAGGGAGGACATGTGCCCAAAGGAGCTTTGTGGAAGAACATCAGGAATTTGAGGTATTCCTCACAGAGCACCTTGTATGTGCAGATTCTCAGGCTCAATTTAGGGGGCCCGTCAATGACCTTGGGAGTTGTTCTTGCAATTTTTGGAAGGCGTTTTCCCAACCTCTTTGAGGTAGACAACCAAGATATTCAGTGGATAATCTGCACTGCTGTTCATATTTCTTCTTGTCTCAGTTTCTCCTCATCACCTCACCTATTCTTTTTATGTTATCTTATCTGCCTTTGGGAACTGGAAAACTTCATGAGTACTGTACACCAAGTGGACATATGTGTTGAATGCACAATTTTCAATTTGTAGAGGTTTTTTGTTTCAAAGTTATGTGAGACTATGTGGTAAATTGGCTGTTCATTTCTGCCAAGACATAATTACATATTCAAACTGGTTTGAGGAAGGATGATTTGAATTTATGCTTACTAAAAACAATACTCCTGTATAGTTTGGGTTTTGGTTGCAAGTCCTTCCTTTGCAGGGCCACTGCAGGGAGGGTGCCCCCCCCCACAAAAAAAACACACAATTGACTTCATTGAGTTAGGGGTGAACTCAAGTGTCAACAGAAATTTAATTTCTCACTCATCACCTCTTCCACAATAATGGAGCCTCTGTTTTCTTCTTCACCCTAATGCAGCCTACCAAATTTGTCTTAGTTTCTCACTTTTCCCCTTGGTCAATGTTCCAAATCCTACTGGAATATTTTCTACCAAGACATCAGCACACTGGACCATCAATTTTTTTTTCCATCTTGATCATTGGTCTATATTTGTTACTTAGAGCATCTCCACCACGATTGGTAATTGTTTTTGCTAAACTAAATTTACCAACCTAACTCCCAAAAATCCCACCCACCACAGATGCTATCTTGGGTCCAAAACCAAAAATAACCTCTTGAGTCACTAGCAAGTTTTTAAATATAGCAACTCCCTACAGCTCAAGTTAAAGCTTGGGAAGTGTGAAACCTCCCTCAAATCTGTGAAACACACACCCTTCTCCCTCCCAATATCAACTCTTGTTGGCATTTCCCTCCACTTCCCGCTCTCTCCGCTCTCTCTGCCCTTGATCTTCCTGTTCTCTCTCTCTTTCCTCTCATTTCTTCTCACAACCACTCCGTTTCCTCCTCATCAGACTCATCACAAGCCTTCTCCTCCGAATATGTCCAAGCCTCACAACCAACAAATTAACCTAACCTCTCAGCAACACTCAACCACAAGTCAAACCACTCCTCTATGGCTATAAAAGATGACTCAAGTCTCTCATTGATCACCACTCTCTCCTCAGCAGTCTTGGACATTCAATCATCACTATTCTCATCCAAACCAACTCTTCTGCCTCAACTGCTTGGCCTATCACCCTCAACACTCCTCATTCTCCACCATCAACAATCCCCTTCTTTATCTTCCCTCAACTCTGTTTCTTTTCTTCCCTTGTTCTATATCTTATCTCTCTACTATCCCTTCTTGCTCACTCTCATTGGCAATGTATACTCATCCTCTCATTGACAACTCATCCTCCACTTCTTATTATTCCGTCAACTCTCTCACTAGAAATACTCATTTGGCTATTGCCAATTTGGTGAGAAAAAACTCATCCAACTTTCTCTCTTGTGTTCTTGTGACTAAACATCAACCTTTTCTCTTTGATTGTTTCTTTTTCTATTAAAAAACAGTGTGTATTATCTGTCATTGTTTGATCTCATATATTTCAGCCTTTCTGTTCTGTCTAAATCAAAAGACCAATCTACCGGTGGTAAATTTCTCTTCTTCATTCTTTTTTCTAATTGTCTTTCATTCTTTGTTATCATCTTTAGTATTAAAAAACTCTAACACTTGTTTTTCTTTATGATTGTCTAAAGTTCTGGTTCTAGTTTCAATAATATTTTCTGTTTTTCATCAACTCTCATGGCATTTCACAAGAATCTAACCTCAGAAACCTCAATTTAACTTGGGAACCCTCAAGTATTTGCCGCTTTGTGGTGGCATTCAGCTTGATCTTGGGAGGTGAATCTGGATCTTGGCTGTTAAAATCTCACATTTAGCAACCCAGACTTACCAACCGCGGGAGAGATGATCTTAGGATTGTATAGTTAAGTGTGGAATCCTCTGTGGTGCAACCAATGATCCTCTGTGGTACAACCAATGGTGAAACAAATACAGTATGATACAGTATCAGCAGAAATTTTCAAATTTTATTTTTTTTCTGATACACAAAAAATTTCTATTGTTTCTAAAATTAGATACTACTTAATTTTATTTTATCAAAAAGCTACAACACATTTTCTGACCAATTTGGACAATTTTTGACACCCAATTTGGAAAATACAAAAAGAAACATTCTGTATCTTCTTGTGTTGGGCTGTATTTGTGACCAGATACCAAATTTTGCTACATTTGTATGGTATTTATTTTTTGATACAGTAAAAATACAATAAATACATGTATTGTATTCACAACATTGTGTACCAGTTCACCAAGGAGGATTCTCACTTGGAGGCCCAGTACAAGGCACCCCACATGCCAATGACATTGTCCAGAAAAACAAGATTCACATTAAGGATGATTTTCCTTTGCTTACCACTAGCAGGTCAGTTTGACAGACATTGGTGATCAGATAGAAGATTTCCTAGGGAGAATCATACTTTGGTCCATGCTAGAGGTTATACTAGGTCACCAAAAATAAACTCTTTTGGTCAGTGGTACCAGAGGCATGCACAGAGCAGTTTGCTGAGGAAGACTCTTCCTTGGCAAGGCCTTGAATTAGGTTGTTAATTAGGACTCCTCCTTGGCAGACAGTACACCTTGTGCTGAGCTGTCAGATCTGCTCACAGAACTTGAAGCCTCCTGTGGGAATTCCATACACAAATATTGTCTAAATCTATGGTCAGGCCCAGGGTAAGCTATGGTCACTGTCAGGGTGGTACACTGTATCAGGTCTAGTTCCTCTGGCCATGACCATATGCCAAGTGCATTCATAGGCCTTTCTGGTGCACATAAGGAAAGGGATCAGGTAGTAACACAACGTCTAGGTCCCATGGACATTGGAAGTCCATTTTTGCAGTTACAGATTACTGAGCTAACCAGACAAAAGAAAACAAGCAACAAATCATTCGTTGTTTTGTAAGTATGGAGAAGTGAGTGGGGAAAGAAACTCCTTTTTTAATTGTGATTACTAGTACTTGCACAGATAGATGTTAAGGATGTGGTGTACGAAGGAGTACAGAGGATAGTAAGAACAGGGTGAAATTTTTTTTCTTGGTCCTGACATATGAAATGCGGATCTGTTGTGGTATGTGTAATGGTTTGATACAAGACTCATTCTGTAAAAGAAAAAGAAAGAAAGTGAAAATTGTCTCGGAAGTCGATTTCTCGCTCGCCGCCGTATGGGGATTGTTGGGTTGAGATACTCGGGCAAGGGGATGATCATCAAAAATCAGTGGCCTAATGAAGATTCAGCAAAAATATAGATGAAAACAAAACGATGTGTCAATTGACGGTTTCACTGGTAAAAAGAAATGCAAGGAAGATTGCTTAACTCTACCACCGTAGCCCCATTCATTTGGCCATTTCAAAGGATCCCGTTTAGGTCCATTGACTTCACCGGTTTTCGGGTTGATATCACCATGGAATTCTTCTGGCCCGAGATTTCTGAGATCCGGATGAGTCTGGTTGTTATTATTTTGGTCTTGAGGGGATGAATTGGATTGATTGATAAGAGAGATGAATTCCTTTTGTTCCTTGGGTGGTAATGCAGGCGGTGAAGGTGAAGGCTTGTAGGTGGGCTTCTTGTTGGATGATGTGCTCGTTGTTGATAGAGGTTTTGATGGGTTGTATCGACTGTTTGAGAGGAAGCTGTTTCGATGAGGATATTTCTGGATGTTCGGTACCGTTGGGTTGATGAGGATCGACCTGAGGTACGATGAAGTTCTCGATGGAAACATTATTGTGCGAATTTTCCTGGGATTCCGATAAGTAGATGTGTGGACTGTGGTTGGGAGTGAATAATTCAGGGAAAGGTGTCTAGGAGAACTTGCTGGTCTCGAACGGGCTACACAAATATGTGCGGGATGGGACCCCCCGTGTCCCCCCAGGACACCCTCCGCAGCAGAGGGAAGGGGTCTACATATTCGCCCACAGCCAAGTGGCACCCTCCTGGCCCCTCTTGGGAGGAGCCACCACAGAAATCAACCAGTGCCCATGCAGCAGGTCAAGGTGCACCTGGCCTCATCCATCAGGAAATGCCGAACGAGGACTTGCTACGAACACAGGCCGACTCGCTCCTTTTCGACCTCCTCAAATCCTAAAAATCAGCTGAAGTTGGACACGAAGACTGTCAGCAGAAGCAGCGAATCACCTATAATAATCAACTCAAATCGATCTCAGGCTAGCATCCGGCATCGTTTTGAAGAGGCACAATCGGACAAAAATGTAGTCAGGATCCTCGAACTATGTCAGGAACTAAAACAGGCCGGTCGACCCTCGCAAGACGAGCTCAAATTAGCATATCGTCACTTGATATCAATCCTGGCACACTATGGCCTCTGGACGCAACTTTACGCGACTGTGAACGAACTGATGGAGCTGATCGAACTCAAAGATAGGGACGACCTCCTGTGGGCAACAATCATAGAAGGATTTATCAAATGTGACAGATCAACAGATGTGATCTATTCACTGATCATTTCGACGGGAATAAACATTGGCCCACACACGATTACTGCCTTATTTCGTGCCGCCATCCTGGAATCCAATCTCAGCCAGTCTATCCTCCTGCTCCAAGTAGCTACCGCCTCCGAATTACTGCCCCAGATCCCAAAGACTCTACTCATCCAATTGGCCGGCTCATTGGCTGAACATGGCCAACTTAATCTAGCTGTCGATCTCCTCCACTCATTCGTAGTCCCAATCAAAGAAACCGACCATCCGGATTGCGTCGGAGGTTTAACTCGCTTGCTACGAACATGTGTCAATCGATCAGATGTATGTAAATTCTGGCTCAAATTTAGTCATGATGAACATCAAATACCCATTGTACTGACCAGCGCAATCAATTGGGTTCCATTTGGTTTCCGGCCTTCTTGAAATAGCCTCAATCAACTCTATACTGTTATTCCTACCTAACAAAAAATCATCCTGATATGATTGAGAATTTGTTGGATGATGGATTGATGATCGAACTGCTATCCCTGGGCAGTCGACACATCATGCCAGATCTTGCGCTCAATGTTCTTTCCCAACTTGTCAGAACTCGGCGGAAACTAGAAATCACACATCTGTTCCCAACGGTCATTGCGCTCTGTCGCGCCGGAGGCAGGATGTCAGAAGTCATTGAGATCCTTGTCCGAGTAGGGAAAGAGCTCGCTATCGGAACCGAGGAGAACGAACTAGTCGCGTTTAACTTGATGGTCGGTCATCTTGGCGGCCTCAGCGAATATCGTAAGCTCATCCAAAGCAACGCACAAGAAGAAATACCAGACGGACAACAAGACGAAAAACGGGAGGAAATCCTCAAAGGCCTCAATAAATCCAAACAGCTTTGCAGGGATTTGCTGATCAAGAGGTCTAATAATGATCAACACGAACGAGCTTCGATAATCTCTCACTCATTGGTTAATAGTCTCATTCAAGCCGACCTGGAACTCCATCGTCCCCTCGAGTCTCTTGCGACCTTCAAAACTTACTTCAGCAATCCACAAAATCACTCAACTTGCTTCATTTTTCAACCTGATCAACATACCCTAAGTTTATTGAAAAACGCCGCCGAGCAAGCTTCGTCCGATCATCGATCCCTCCAGACTGAAATCTTGAGTATCATCGATGATCTCCAAAAAGAGATTTCCTGTTGACTATATAGACTTCATTGAGCTTGCAAGACAGTTTCGAGTTGGAATTATTGTGATCTTTGCCTATTTTATAATGAAATCTAGTCGGTCTTACTCTCCTCGAACTTTGACATTCTCAAGCTCACAATAAACTCAAGTAAAGATGATACTCAGACTTCAATTGCTATGTTAGAAAGATGACTTGTAGAGATTGAATGAGGGATGCTAATAAGAAATGATTCCAAAATCACATCTTTTCCCAATTTCCCCAGTTCGGGTTCATTCTTTCATGTGGCAGTAGAAAATGTATGTGAATTAATGTACTTACAACAGTCTCTTTTTTTTGATGATTTTTTGGGCTGGTGTTTTAGATTCCAGAAGCTCACCCCATCAATTTTGAAGTTATGAGACTTGGGTCCACTGGAATAGAGCAGGTTTTAAAGAATGATTTGGACAACCAAAATGGGAAAAAAAATCACTCTTTTTTGTGATATTGCTCCAAAACGAAAAGTGAATTAAAAGTTGGAAAGAATTGTGTGTTTCACAATTGAGAGTTCTCAGAACACTGTTTAGCTCAAACCAGTGGCAGCATGCTGTCTGGTCTACTGCAAATCTCAAAACACACCTCTCCAAGCAAAGTCAAATATCAGAGTTATGACCAAGCAAGAATTTCCTTTAGTAGCAAAACAAGAATGTAAAGCCTCAATCATGAACCCCACTAATAATATACTTTTTTTTTTGGAACAAGAGATGATCCAGATTTCAGTGTGCAGGTCAAAAATCAGGATTTTCTTTTCAATGAACCCAGGGCCAGTGCATGAACTGGCTGTACAGAAGCAAAATTTTCATTTCAAATCTGTTGATCTCACTCCATATGTTCTTCTTTTTGTTTTTCTTTGTGTGTCCCACATACCTTTCACATTCATTTCATGTGTTGTGACGTGTGCTGTACCTGGGGAAGCTTTGTGGAAGCAATCCTCCCCTCATCCTTCCAGGCAGTGCTGTCCCCGGGCCTAATATGACGTGTTGAGCTAATTTGTCATCTCATTTTCTCTTCTTTTGCTACCATCGACATATGTTTCTTGTTGCATGTCACTAATTAGATGTCATCAGTCCATTTTTTTTTTACTTTTATTTTTCTTCCTTCTTTGAATCTTTGTATTTTTCTTTTTCTCTTAGTCTGTTTCACCTCAGTATGCAATGTCACTCATCCTTCCACAAACTCTCACATATGTTGTCTTTTATTCTTTTTCTTTCATCTTGGTCTCTTCTTCCTTCATCTTTTCTTTTCATGTTTGTGTTGTTTCAGTTCCAATGCATCACATAATAGTTTATATGCTTCCACAACTCAATTGCGGTGTCCCCAGTCCATCTCCTCATAATTGTGGACAATCTTCCTGAGAACCATGGTCCTGCATGGACAAAACGAACCGGCTGCAAACGTAGCGGTCAAAATCTGGGCTGTCTCTCTGAAGAACGTAGATAATTACAAATGGATTGATGGTTGCACTAACATATTTATGTAGTGATGTGGGGAAAGTCTAAATGTTGTAAAGTTGTAGCGAGGTTCAAGGCTGAGTCAGTCGAGTCGGGCTTACATAAGGTAGTGGTGCACCACTAATAACTATGTACTTAAACTTCTTCTACTCAATTCCTCCTCAAAATCTCCCCACTCGACTTCCAAGACAAGCAAACTCCGACCACCACCACCACCACCCATCGAAGAACAACCTGATCCAAAACAACTACATACATACGATGGTCGTCTCCCTCAAAGAGTCATGTCTGCGTAGTCAGTATTCCCCCCACTATTCATCATCTCAACCCTTCACACGACAGTTGCCTTACCCGTCTTGCAAACCATGCTGACTCCTCGGCTTCCACTTGCCACTCGCTCGACAATTTCATAGTCCTAACTGCACATTCGGGTGGTAAGCTTTTCATTTCTCCTCAAGACCGTGCCTCTTGTTTCTCCCTGGTTTCAACCATGTATGTATTTACTGACTTGCTATGTTTGTTTTTTATTCGGGGACGGTCAGGTCTGCTTGAAGTCGGTAACTGTCCGTATCGCACGATCAGGCCCGTTCTTATTGCATGCAATCCCGACCAGCTAGCCCACATAGAAGATTCATCTCCCGTGAGTTTACCCATCCAACAGCGATTATTATTTTTTTCTTGATCCCCATTCGGTGAAATGACATAATTGGTACTGTCTTCTACAGCATCTCATGTTGGATTCGGACGAAATTTGGCAGCATTTCCTCTCCAGAGATTTCCCGAATGAACCAGCGATCCCGCCGTCCACCCGGCCCTCATCACCTGCACCGTTCCCATCGGGCGAAGACGAGGAAGATTTACATGAGGTCGAGCTACCGCCTAATCGGCTGCTTTACTTCAAAACCCGGCTGGCAAAGGAAGAGGCCCTGGCATCCGCCTCTGCTCGTCTCCGGGAAAAGGTCCAAGCTAGTCGTTCAGATCAACACAAACGGAAGGCTATTTTTACCGGCCTGACGGATTACGGTGCCGGGAGTAAGAAAAAGAAGCTGAATGGCTCAAAGTCTTGGGGTAGTTACACTCCAACGGGTAAGCTCCATACTA